ATTATTATTATATTTATTTGTAATATTATTATTAATAAATCAGAAAATATAAAATTATTTTCAATAGAGATGATCTGAAAGGTACGGAAATAGGACTAAGTACCTGTCGTTTGGGTTTATCAAAAATAATGTGAACATTCTTATAAACAACATAATTGGTTTGAAATCTGTATGTATAAATAAAATTTTAAACTTTATCTTTGACTTTAAAATAGCTCGTTTTCATATTCTCTTTCGCTTATGTCACAAAGAAGTGACCATCCTTTAAAACTTAACTCGGATCTTACGAGAAACGAAACCTCTCATCATCCAATGTATTCACAGTGCGTGTGTCGGGTCCATCACGATGCAGGGAGAGGAGCTTCAGTGCCTGGGACTTGCGACCCAGGTGTAGGTTTAAGGGGCCCCTATCTAACGCGTTAAACGCTCACCTCCACTGTCCAAGCTCCTCTCTCTACTAAACCAAATTTGAAAAGAACCTACTAGGGCTGCATTCAAAGTATATTCCAAAAATGAATTGATATTGGTTCTGGATAGGCCCAAGTGTTTTAGTAGGTTGTAAACAGATTTAGCGCTTATATATCCCGCTTCTACTTCTAACGCGTACAATTTTACTACGAACCTATTCCTAGTGAGTTCGTTAGTGACTATCAATTTTCAATATTTAATAAGTATTATTTGTTTTAAAGAGTTGAATCTTCATATAAGGGTGTCTCTATACTTTATACATTACTATTTAGTATTACTATTTTATTGTATATTGCATTGTAAAGTTTTTACAAATGTATAAATGAATTAAATAAATAAATAAGAATAATAATAATTTAGTACTAAAGCATCTATATATAACGAACTGAAAGCTGCATAAGCATTGTGATAATGCTATCTTTTGGTAAAGGTAAAACTTAGTAGAAAAACTTTTTGTTCTTACGTGTTGTCTTACAAAATTATTAAAGGCAGACGAAAAACGTAATTATTATATTAGTTATTATGATTAAAGAGCTTTTGTTAGACCAGTTTTGTTCTATGTCAGAAGCTCTAGGTTTTTTCAAGGCTTTATGGCCATATGTATGTAACTTTCGTACGTACATATATTCCCTGGCACGGAGAGATCAATCTTAGAATATGATAAAGAGTCTTAAACGACAATTATTCTTCTTATTAACCCATTTTTTATCTTATGTATATTTCCAATTTTTTTTTTTCTATACCATAATTTCTTCCCCGAAAATAATGCTAACAGGTACAGTCAAGTAGACACTACGTAAAGTGTATTATGCCAATGTCAACTTTTTATTGATCGAATTATGATTATAAAACAAAACAACGAAGGAGTTTGTCTAATGGAGTAAAGGCGAATTTTTGTTAAGACTTCAGAGTCCGCATATATATTTACAAATATAAAAAGCATAACCTGAGCAACTCGGATATAGTAGGTACATTATTAAAGAAAGTTAAAGTTTAAAGTTATTAAATTTAACGAATTTGCCCATATACCAGTTAAGAAGAATTATTAATTTAAAAATACTGACCATTTGCTAGCCGGGACTTACTTTCATGTTCGCGAATATTGTTTAATTGATCATGAAGTTATGAAGATTCGAAATTATAAAAAAGAAAACAGTCTTCCATAAAAAATGTGGACCAGAATCCTCAATTGACTTGGCACGTTACCATCTTAACTAAGGAAAAAGCTTTCCTGAATAACGGTAATGTTACTAAAATATCAAAATGATTTGAAAATAACCCCTGAAATTTTATACAATACTCATTTTAGAATATAAATATATGAATTTTATATGGTCTGCAATTAAGTAGGTGGGACCATAACATTAATATGGATCCCTACCAATATTATAAATGCGAAAGTAACTCTGTCTGTCTGTTACGATTTCACGCCTAAAACACTGAACTGATATTAATGAAATTTGGTACAGACATAGAGTTGACCTTGAGAAAGAACATAGGATAGTTTTTATCCCGGACTTTTGAAAAGTTCTTTTGGAAACGCGATATAACCGAACTCGAAGCTACATAGTATAATACTAGTCACATTATATCGATGTTTCATATTGTCGTCTTATGACATAAAAAATGAAATTATTTTAATAAAATTATGTTTAAATACAAATTAAGCCGCCATATTTGTATCAAAATCAAAAAATATATATAAATTTTAAAGACGTTAGGCGAAAAAAATTAAAAATAGTTCGTTATTCAAAATGAAGATTCATATCTTATGTTTTATCATTATTAATTCTGATATGTCCGAAGAAATGCAGGAAATAAAAAAACTAGCTTGATAAGAAACATCCAAAAAAGTAAGACTATACTTCTCAATAAATATGCCAGACATTTTACCAGAATAATTTTTAACAGACTTTCAAAGAAGGTTTTAAATATGTATGTACTTCTATACTAAAAATGAACTAATAATATTTTAGCTTAATAGTCTGATTAAATAATAAACCTAATTGTCAATCCTAGTTTAGGAAACAACCGAAAACTCCATTGACTACAATTTTCTGAACAGAATATCTTAGAGCAATACATTTAATCTTAATCTTAATAATTTAAAGACAGTCTTGTTACTTCTTTATACAGGGTGACTGGTGAATTACTATCAATATTTAAGGAGAATACTCGGTACATGATTCTCATTCGAATTATGTAAAAAAAATAGGTACTTAATTTTTGACAAAATTTCCGTATAAATAAATAAAGTGTTGACACGTTCCAAGTGTTCCAAGTGTGGACGCGTGCGGCGGCGTGCTGATACAACACCACGCCGAGCACGCGTATGTGTGAGTGTGTGTGTATACCTAATCTGTAGGGTGTTCACACGATGCGTAATTAATTACATAACTTTTGGTTAACTTTACTTAGAAGTTTATTAATATTTATGTTATGTTAATTTTTATTTTGTCATATATGATCGTCAAATATCACGTCCTCAAATATCGATAGTAATTCACCAGTCACCCTGTATATCACGAACGGCTGTACGGGTTATGCAGAAAGTTGGCGAAGAAATAGCTTAGAACCAGGTAAAGGACATAGGATACGGTTCATATGATCGAAAAATAAAAATAATAAATTGATAAAATCCAAAATCTTTTTATTTACTGCCTTTTAGGAGGAACAGAGTTTGCCCGGTCAGCTATACATTTCTAATTTTGAAAGCAACGCGGACGAAGTCGCGGGCCAAAACTCGTAAGTCGTATTTTATAAATTATTATGGGCCTAATTTCACAGACCTTGTCTATGGAAACAAATCTTTATATAGATAATTCTTCTGTGAGTGTGTATGTCACTGAACTTCTCTCAAACGACTGGACCTATTTTGATGACATTTTTTGTGTGTGTTCAAGGGGATTTGGGAATGGTTTAGATTCACAATTTTTAATTTATTAGTAGTTGTTGATACAAACGTTTTTTTGGCATTTGATTTGACAACTAACTAATATGTCAATCATTCTGTCGCACTTCAAAACACGGAGATTTATGGCTTTAATAGGTTAACTCCTAAAATATAAATAATAAAACGTAACAGATATTTCTTGATTATAGGGCGATACGAAGTGTCGTCTAGTATATTATATAATTTTATTCTCTACATTTAAATTAATACCTTTACAATTTTCTTGCTGATTGTAAACACGGATAGCTGTTTTTTTTTAAATATTAGGTATATACGTAGTACGTTTATTGCACATAGTTACTTATTATTAAAACATTATTAAAATTGTGGGTTTTTGTACATTTTCTTTCTTCTAAATTCGAAATTGAATATTTCAAAAACTTTTCAGCTCTTAGATGTTTGTCAAAGAGTATTTTAAAAATCTAATTGGACAACCTAACAGGTTTTATAATTAAATTGAATTTTTGTGGCATTCGTTTGCACATTGACATGTGGATTTATTTAATGATTAATCTTTTTTAAGATGAACTGCTTGATGTGCCGCGTGTGTTACATAAACTTCTTACATTCAAAAAAAAATTCATTAAATAATATTTTTTATTTTTCTTTTCTAACAGATTCAAGTTAAACGCCTTTTTTATGTAATAAAAAGTAGATGTAGATTATGGAAAATAAAACATTATTAGAAATTAAAAATTGTCTCATAATTACTTTGACCACTGCTTTAAAGTCCTTTTTTTCTTGCCCGTAGAAATGACAAGGGATAAGATAATAATTAATATATCGTTCATACATAGTCGGCTACCATTTTCCATGACTATTTGAGAGATAATGGGACTTCATTATAATAATACAACATTGAGCGAAGATCCACAAGCTCCAGCAAGGAACTAAACGAAATATATTTTGGCGGAAATTTATGGATTCAAAAGGTACGTTCAGGAACTTTCTAACGAAAAAGCCGTAGGTGTTCGAAGCAAGATTTATCTTCGTCAGAATGGGGATGGAATCCACGAGATAAAAAAAAAAAACAAAATATTTTAAATAAAAAGTTTAAATATACAAAAATTTGGATAATATATTATACTATTAATGATAGAATTTAGAAGGATGAAGACTGAACAATTTTCTTTTGAAAATATGTAATTTTTCGTTTCAATAACCGCTTATAATAATGTAATTATAAAAACAATTCTTTCTATGATGAAAGATTTTTAAAAACTCAATCACTTTACAATAATCCTGATTGAACATTCACTACATATTTCTAAACATTCACTCTTTTTAATCAATACAGTTTATATTCAAAACAAAATTTATAATCTGTATTGTACATTCTACTTTCCTTGTTATTCTGTATTCAATAAAATCAAAATGGTCATGACAAGTTGCAACATTCAACATTTTTTTTCATTTTGGCAATTCGGAATTTTCAAACGTCAAATTTTATTGTCGCAAAAATTTCAGTCTTATTTTCTTAAAATATTGTTCGATCTAAAAACATATTATAAAAATACAGAAAACTCGATCCGTATCAAATATTACGTGCCAGGCTGTTGGCGTAAAGTTGCATAAATGAATGATGTCTTTGAGGTCGAAAGCCCTTGCTCTGGTGGAGGTATTATTGAGAGTGCCCCCATTGTTTGTGGTGGATGAGTTTCTGAAGATAAGCCTGGGGCTGCCGGTGTCCACGGGAGAGGAAGTATCGCTGCTGTCCAACGTGACCGTGGACCACGTAGATATAACAGATGCAGACGGCAATTACTACGACTCCAACTTCTACAACACTTTCGTCTTCACACTCGTTAAGTTCTTCGTGTGTTGCCTGGGTATGTCAGTTTATTTATTTTGTAATATTTCTCAATCGTCATTGCGAAACGTTAAGCTGTCATTGTGACACGATCCGGTTAGATTTTTATTACGGTTCATATTTTGCAAGAAATAAACATTGATATCTAGATATGTACTTATAATTATCATAAACATACCAAAATCGATATATATCTCAACTCCGACTGATATTTATAACGGACTTGTAATTTTATTTTCGTCTATCATCCAAACACCAGGTGTCCAGTCAAATGTTTTTCATTTATTTAAATGTGTATCAATTTAGCTGATCATTTCATTACCCATGCAATATCTTTAAGCCATGACTATTCTAGAAAATATAAAATATATATTTATAAACAAAAAAAATCTAAACCCAAAATTCCCTGTAATAGTTTATTAACTAGCACAAGGCCACAGAAGACCTTATCTACCGACATAATTTAAAAAAATTTACACATAACATAAGTGTATAATTAGCTGGGAAAAATAATTGTGAGCAGCTCTTTTGAGCTCAATAAATTGTTACTCTTAATATATAATTTCATTTCATTTTAAATACAAAATAATAACTTAATAAATTTGATAAAATTGGCACTTGGTTAATATACTTATTAATAATTATAACAATATGGTTATTAATTCACATCTTATCAAATTCTTACTTATTACTTAAGATAATACTTCAACTTTAATTTAAATGATTTGTTATCATTATAAAATATACTAGGTTTTGCTCATGACTTTGTCCTCATTGGAGTTATAGTTTGGTTTAGAAAAATTAGTTGTGGGTTTAAAACAATACATATTTTAATGGGCCGCATCTTCTTCTACCTGGCATTTTCCCTGCTTTAGCCAGGGTCTGCCTTCTGGGGCCGCTATGTACATATATATCCTGTTTCATGAGATTTTATTAATTATTTGATCCTGTACAGAATTTTGAGTTAAGTTGTAGCCTATGTCCTATTCTAATATCTAAGATACATTATTGTAAAGTTTTATTGAAATCTGTTTATTACTATTTATATTAGAACAACAAAAAACATTGCACACATTCTCACATTATTTCATTCTTTATTACATTAGTAAAATTATAAACCATGCCATATTATATATATTCTTGTACATAATTCTTTGTTTACATAAGTAATATTTGATATCTTAAGGATTAAAAGCATTCACTAGATTTAATCTTAGCTCACAGGATAAATTATAATTAAATGACTTAAGTATATATATCTTCTAACTAGCAATTTCCCAGGTTAACCAGGGTATATAATATATATGTATATATTACATTATTATATACACCTAAGTCTGTTTTTACACAGTAGATCTTCGGGAAGAAGCCATCACAAAAAAAAAAACTGTGTAGAAAAAGACATAGATCTTATACAAAAATGAAGTTGATTTGTTCCTAATCTCTAAAACCTATTAAAATTAGTGAAAAACAAGAATTTTTAAGAACACCATATGTTTATTTTATTAAATCAAATATATAATCCCTACTCACACTAGCATAGTAACGGTTGTTAAAAAATTTATGATGACCCTAATCTTAAAATTAATAAAAATTTTGTATGGCAAGTTCAGGAACTAAAAATATGTCATAAAGGGAATTTCCCTAAATTATGCTATTCACATATGCATAATGACCAGTAAAAAGTGTTGTACTCGGTTTGGAATTAAACTAAATCTTTAAGCCAGTTTTCGCAAACTATCAATACTATCGATGGTATAGACTTTAGCTTTTATAATACTATTTATGTGATATGAAATCATCATCAGCCTATGTACATTTGACAAAAATTTAATTTTCAAACCGTGTACAAAAAGACCGTGTAAAAACAGACTTAGGTGTATAAGACTTTAAGAATGTCTCGGGTAATTCATCACAATTGCTTATAACAGAAGAAAAGACTCGTCAAGGAAGTTTAGTTTAAAATTATATTTATATTTTAAGGGTTTTTTTCTTAACACCATATGAAAATATACATAACCTTATGTAATCCCTACTCACACTAGTATATAACGTTTCAGTTTTACCAAATTTGTCTTTCGAAGCAAAAACACTAATTGACAAGTAATCAAAAGTTAAATTAAGTTTGTGACAGAAATAAATTAAAAAAAAAATAATTTGAGAATGAAAGGCTTAGATAATTAATTAATTAATAATACTATTTTTAGTATGTGGACTACAAATAAAATTAATTTAAAAATCTTATAATCTTAGTATAACTATGTATGTATTACTTCTATATTCAAGAGCCCCTCGGCAGGTAAAGGCCAAAGTAACTCAATTATCTCTATTTTAAGCTAAATCTATCCAGTCTAAGCCAGCCGTTTTTATGATGTCATCTGCCTGTTATCATTACTGTCTTGCCAACAACACTTTCCCTTAGCACCTTGCCGATAGATATAAAGATCTTTACTATAGATCTTGTATATATGTTTATAAAGAAAATAGTAAATTATATTTGAAAAACTGTATGTATGTATATACCATAATCTTTATATTAGTACATAAACACCATTCAATTCTGTTTTTGATTGACAGACACTGTAAAAGGTTTTTAATTTGAATTACATAAATAATTCTATAGAAAGTGCATCAATAAGTGTGACAATTACATTCACTATTTCATAATCTGTTAATTATTTTATTTCAATTGTTGTTATTCTCAAACAGTTTCATTGACTAAATTAATTAATTTCTCAAATTTATTCAATCATGCCGACAAAATACTATCATGCTATTGTTTCCACACAAACAATTTAGGAAAAGTTTTAAAATAAATAATCTATTATTTTAAGTATTTAAGAGTTTACTAATTATATGTCTGGTTGTTTGTGAAGTCACAACAGAAAATGGCTGAAATGACAGTTAGGTTAGGTTGTTAGGTTGGTTAGAAAGAGATAGAGATATGAATTAGAGTGAGATAGAATAAAAGAAAAGGAGCTAAGATAGTTTTCTAATTTCAAATAAATAATACAGTTGTATGTAACATAGTAGTAATAATGTGTTTTGTATATTATTCATTCAATTAACAGAGTTCATTGACATTGCTTAAGGTCAAGACCGTTTGTTAACTTGCTAAGATATATTCGGAGTGTTTGAAAAAAATTACAATTCTTTTGTTTGATTTTGTTTTTTAATTATTGATTTGATTACATAATATGTACTTGGTAACTTATATCTATTGAGTACTTAATCGGCTAACCACATATATAAGTTTGTTTGTTTGTTTTGTTGAAGTTCAGGAACTATTGGTGCAGTTTTTTTTTATACTTGTAATGTTTTGTAAAACTTTTTGAGGAACTGTAGTTTATATACAAATACATTATGACCAACAGGAGCAATACAAGGTTGAATGAAAAATATTCAAAAAAACAAAGGAATACACACTTTTTGTAAGCTCTCTTTTTTTTAAATTTTCGCAAAAAGCATATATCACAGAATTATATCAGATTATCGTTTTTTAACTCAATACATTCGAGTTACTTTCCGGTTTCTCAATTTCGTTTTACACTCATGATAAACAGAAAGATGTTTGTATATATCGAGATATATAGAAACATCTTTCTGTACTTAGACTTGCTTATATATAAAACTTTTTTTTTTTTTTTTTGTTATCGCGCTGAAAGGTTTTATACCTACCCCTCCGTCTAGGGGAGACAGAGGCGGTTATGTGGGATTCACGGCCAGAAGGGCCCATGTTACCCACTAAAACACCAGCGGTCACTCTCCGTTGCCGCCAAGTGGATCGCCACGGGAAACGCCGAAGCATGCATCCGCGACGATCCGGCGGCGGGCCGCGAACGGCCACCTCCCCCTCAGGCCTCCGGAGAGACCCGAGTATCCCCTCCCCCCCAAGACAGCCACGGACGGCCTCCTGCCAGATCCGTGACCGTCTTACTCCCAGGGCTGTACCCCCAGCCCTCCCCCCCGTGACTGATTGCATCGGAATACACCAGTGGGCGATGGGGTCGTCACGTCCCGACGCCGGACTGCGCCGACAGTGGCCGAGGCCACCCGCCAACACGTAGGGCCGAACTTGGCAGCGGCGGTGTACACCGCCGAGCCTCGTCCTACCCACCTCCATGGGCTGCACCCCCAGCCCGGGCCAAGACACTACGAGGAGGTCAAGGCCCTTCCCCCCGTGACTAATTGCACCGGAATACACCGGTGGGCGATGGGGTCGTCACGTCCCGACGCCGGGTGCTTATATATAAAACTAGGCTAGTGAAATAATTGGCAAGATATGTATATATAATTTGCTGACCATTATATCTAGTATTTTTGATGATATACCAAAACAAAAATGTCATGTGTTATTTATGATTAGACAAACATACAGCTACGTGTTACAAGGCTGGTTTCACACCAAACATTGAAAATAAAGATGACATTGATACTATGACTTTAAACGATTTATTTCCTAGACCAACTAAATACTGCTTTACTAAGTATAATTTTAAATAATATGATGCTTTTTTAAGTTTTTGTTATTCCAAAATATCTGTGGAAATAACATACATCTCGTCTGCCCGTGATCATTTTTTCTCTAAAGTAACCGAAACGTCGGGAGTATGTAGTTTATAGTCAAAAATAAAAAATCGCGTAGTACCTACATCCGAAAATGTTGGTTTAATTTAAATGAGTACTCGCGAAAATTTTAAATCTCACTAATCATAAACATGTACGTATTGTCTTTACAATATTAATATATATCCCTACTAGTAATATTATAAATGCGAAAGTAACTCTGTCTGTCTGTCTGTCTATCTGTCTGTCTGTTACGCTTTCACGCCTAAAACACTGAACTGATTTTAATGAAATTTGGTACGGAGATGGAGTTGACCTTGAGAAAGAACATAGGATGGTTTTTATCCCAGACTTTTGAAAGGTTCTCTTGGAAACGCGATATAACCGAACTCCACGCGGGCGAAGAGCTAGTATTCCTATATAAGATTGATATTATATTTATACCAAAGAAACTTTTTATTGGGCAAAAAATACATATAACAAAATATTTATGAGGACATTGTTCCATATATTCAACATATGTGAATCATTAACAGCTTGAATATCTCACAATGTAAAATTAAAAATAATTATGTTAATTTTAACGAAACTTAATAATGTCGTAACTGAATGTTTTCTATTTTAGCCTTCGGGTTCATCCGTTCATATAAAACAATCTAAAATAATATCATCTCAGTCTTTACATTAATATTTTATATATTTAAAATTTAAATTACTTATTAATGGAAAAAATTAACAAGCCAGCTAATTAGACTAGAGGTAACATAAGAAAAATATGCTCGATATAGAAATACTATGGTAAATAATAATGAGACGAAACCTCTCAATTCTCATCATTCAATGTATTCACGGTGCGTGTGCCGGGTCCATCGTTGTAGTGAGAGGAGCTTCAACAGTGACTGGGACTTGCGACCCAGGTGTAGGTTTAAGGGGGCCCTATCTAACGCGCGTTAAACGCTCACATCCACTGTCCAAGCTCCTCTAGTTGCAATTTATTTAATGTAATTTTGTTCTAGACGTCTGTCAGAAGATTGTAATATTTACAGTGAATAATACTTCATATCCCCACTCCTTCCCCCTCACTTTATGTCAAATTAAAACTACCCTATATTCATACTGTGTCCACGAATTCATTAGCACTTATAGTTATTTCGTATTAACAATAAGAGCAAAGAATAATATTTAAAATAAACCTCAATTTGACCTATCTGACAGTAAGACTCCTATCAAAACCGTTCCATTTGTTTCAGATATTAGTCTTAACAGACAATACTGTGTTTTTATCCGATATTAATTGCATAAAAAACCTTTAAATATTACAGACAGACTAACTGATTTCATAATTTTTTTTGTATAGACGACATAAGCAAAAAGTAAGAATTCTTAAATTTTTATACAAATCAATGGAAGTGTGTATACCCTATGCGTGATTCAATTAGATTATACTATAGTATACTGAAATGTATACAATCTAGCTTTTTCGCAGCTTATATGGAAATATATAAATATTTCTCTCAATTTCTTTGGTTTTCCTTTCCAGTTTCCATCCAAGTATTAATTTTCTTTACATCTAACATTATTTATTACAGAAGTAATTTTTCACGCATTATTATGATCGAGGTCCAAATATTACTTTCACTTGTCCTAGTTAATGTTAGCGCATATCCGAATTGTATGCTAATAAAAATAAAATTTATCCAAATTCACATATACAGGGTGACTGGTGAATTACTATCAATATTTAAGGAGCATACTCGGTACATGATTCTCATTCGAATTATGTAAAAAAAATAGGTACTTAATTTTTGACCAAATTTCCGTATAAATAAATAAAGTGTTGACACGTTCTAAGTGTTCCAAGTGTGGACGCGTGCGGCGGCATGCTGATACAAAACCACGCCCTCGCCGCGCGTGTGTGTGTGCGTGAGTATACCTAATCTGTAGGGTGTGCACACGATGCGTAATTAATTACATAACTTTTGGTTAACTTTACTTAGAAGTTTATTAATATTTATGTTATATTAATTTTTATTTTGTCATATATGATCGTCAAATATCACGTCCTCAAGTATCGATAGTAATTCACCAGTCACCCTGTATAATGTATTTATTTGCAATTATTACGTTTTATTGTTTGGAAGTCAAAAATGTTGACGCTATGTCAGTCGTTTGACGCGAGTTAAATATTCAGACCTAAGCAAAAAAGCCGTTACTTTAATATTTTTTGCCGTATTTTTACATCTAATTCTAAGTCATTAAACTCTCGAGAGTGTTTTTGGTTTTTGTTTTAATCTTTTTTTTGTTCTAACACAAATTTAGCGAAAAATTAAGGTCATGGTTGTAATTTTTTCTATGTCTAGATGTAGGGACATTTTAAACGCTTTTTATGGCCCATAGCTGCAAACAGTTTATCGGTAGTTGGCAATAAATACGAAAATGCAATTTAAGGTTGTCATTTCGCCAGTAACCTTTTGTTGGTATGTTTCTTAACAGCGCAACCTCGCGGCGAGGCTTTACGAAATAAACATTGTCTGCATCAACCTTCGAGTTCACACAATATTGATCTTTATAACACGAATACCTTTAATGTAATTTTTTTAAATTAAAATGTAGGTCTTGATGAATAACCGAGGTTACACCATTATTGAGAACCTTTGGCTTACCACAATATTATTTATTATAATATATATTACAAAGATTAGTTCAATATGATAACTTTTTTATATCTAATATCTAATTCTATCAATGATATATCAATTAGATTTTAATACTATTTAATGAAAAATAATAATATGTATATTATCTTATTACTCTTCTAATGTTATTTTTATTTGTTTCCAGGATGTATGAGCGCGCTGTGCATATTCGTGCTGTACACGAAGCACCTCATCATAGTCTACTTATACCTCATGTCGCTAGGGATAGTGTTCGTATCATACTGGACCAATGTATCCGCGATCAAACAGATACAGACCCTCATCCAGACGGCGACCACTCCTCACTCGGCCAGTATACTCGAAGACATCCTGGACTTGAATCTGAAGAGGCTCCTCGATCTCGAAGGTCCCGGTATACTGGTTATCCAAAACTTTGCCATACAGTTCATACTGTCGATCCTGTTTAGAAATGTACATCTTGGACCTCGACATCCGACTATACAGAAATTATTGCCTTTAAGCTTCATGGCTCCGTCTTTTCTGGCTATGCTGCCAGTGTCACAGAATCTACTGCATCATTCCCCGGTATTCTCGTCTTTACTGCCGCTAGTGCTAGTTCAGTATGCCATATGGGCGTCCAGCTATGACGTCATACAAGTCATCTACGCTGGTTATCAGCACGGGAGATTGTTCGTCAGTCATAACGGCTTGTCAGCATTGGTGGAAACGGAATGGATGAGGTTGAATGTGCCGTGTGTGTTGAGAGTGTTCTGGGTGATGCGTGTAGCTGAGCACGCAATACTGCTGTTGATGGATACGTATGATGATGATGATGATGGCTTGAAGGTGTCCACGCTACTGGCTGTCCAATCGCTCGCCTCTATGGCAAAGTCTCTGTTAGTGACGGGCTGCGAGACCATAACCGCTGTCCTAGGCATGACTTCCGTGATATCCTTCTTCTGTCACTACATCGGCAACTTCTTCCAATGGATACTACTGACGGAGGAGGAAGAAGATAAAAGTATAGGCACAGTGTCAGCTATACTGTTCTACATACTCGCTCTCCAGACGGGACTGACTTCGTTAAACCCGGAGAAGAGATTCATTCGTTTGTGCCGTAATTTCTGCTTATTATTCACGGCTCTGTTGCATTTCTTGCACAACATAGTGAACCCGATGCTGATGTCTCTCAGCGCGTCCCACAATCCGAGTACACACAGGCACGTGAGAGCGCTAGGCGTGTGCGCATTTCTAATCATATTCCCGATATCTCTGCTGGTGTATCTCTGGTCACAGCATTCAATTTCCACGTGGCTGCTGGCTGTCAGCGCGTTCAGTATAGAGGTCATTGTTAAAGTCATCGTTAGTCTCATGATATACTCGTTGTTCCTGTTCGACGCGTACAGAAGTACGTTCTGGGAGAAACTGGATGATTACGTGTATTACATACGAGCGTTCGGCAATACCATAGAATTCTGCTTTGGCATCTTCTTATTCTTCAACGGCGCCTGGATATTACTGTTCGAGTCTGGCGGCGCGATCCGGGCGGTCATGATGTGTATACACGCGTACTTCAACATCTGGTGCGAGGCCAGGGCCGGCTGGTCGGTGTTTATGAAGCGTCGTACAGCAGTTAATAAGATCAACTCCTTGAAAGAAGCCTCCGCGGATCAATTGCACCGGTTGGACGATGTTTGCGCAATCTGCTACCAAGAGATGCACTCGGCGAAAATAACGAGATGCAACCACTACTTCCACGGCGTGTGTCTCAGGAAGTGGCTCTACGTCCAGGATCGGTGTCCATTGTGCCACGACATTCTATACAAGATAGACAACGACCCGAACAAAGATAACAGCTCGGAAGCAGCCAACGAAGAGAACAGCAACAACCAGAACCTGCTCCTAGAAGACGAACCGGAGCTGATGAACGACGTGAGGTGACTGGACAATGGACACGCGCGGCTCAATCAAGACTAAGCCTCGATTTAACAGTGTTTATATAATGTGTAGTAAGTTATTTATATTATATAGGAACCGGGACGCTGCTGTGGTCGAAAATATAAAGTATCGTGATGAACGGCTTCTTAACACAAATGAACGATTACTTGTAAGTTTTGTTTGTACTTCAGTCTGTGCTTGGATCGTGGTCGTCATAGTCCTATTAATGTAACTTTAAATCGCTAGTTTCTATTATAAATGTAACGATGGTTTAAACGAAAAAAAAATATCTAAAAAATTGTTGTCAACAACGACGGAAAGCTATTTGTAAATAGTCGTTTAGAAATAGCTTTTAATATATTGTAAAATAATGTTGTTTTTTTTTTTGAAGAAAAAAAAAATATAAAAATAGTAATTTCTCTCAGTAAAGTGTAAATAAAGTTATTTTAGTGTATAGCTTTTTGTTTCAATCGTGTGAGGCTTTTAAAGCTAAATGAAAGAAGACAACAAAAATATTGAATAGGAGTTTATTTTTATAACTATTTTATAATAAGCAACAATAAATATTTAACCGACATGTTTCAACAAAGAAGTATATATTTTTTTGTTACATCTAGCTTTTTGTTTTGTTCCACATAATTTATTATATTTAAGTAAATAAGTATATATTGTTATATTTCATACACTATGTAATAAATTGTTACCTTATGTACATAAAGTATTGAAGGTGTATTTCGTCCTAAATTATCAATAATGCTAATTTATTACAATACAGTATGTAGTAATTAGTTAAATTCTGTGTAAACTTAAGGTTTTTTGTTTGACTAGTTATATTTCCATTTGACTATATAAATATTTAATAAATATATTTTTTATTATTATAGAAAATATTGCAATATTTGTCATTATAGCAGCTTTTAATAAATGTCGAATTTACCTATCATTGTGAAATGTGATTAAATCACTCTTTGGTTGTTTATTACTATAATAACTTCATTTACCCACACATAATATAGAGGATTTTTTAGCTATTTCATACGAAAAAATTAATTAAATATAAGATCCTTATAATTTGAGAGCAGGTAGTAGTTTGATACTCGGCAGTTGGTGGATGTTCGTACTACTGTAGTTCGATCAGCGCGCTCGAAGTTGGCCTTTACTATTTCATAGTAGCGGCCGTCACTGGAAGTATTAAAAACATATCTTTATATATATAATTCTTCTGTGAGTGTGTATGTCACTAAAGTTCTCTCAAACGACTGGACCGATTTTGATGAAAATTTTTGTGTGTGTTCAAGGGGATCTGGGAATTGTTTAGATGCACAATTTTGTCCGCTGGACAATGTTTTTTTAATTAATTTATCAGTAGTTGTTGATACAAACGTTTTTTTTTGACATTACATTTGACAACTATCAAATATGTCAATCATTCTGTCGCACTACAAAACACGGAGATTTGTGGCTTTAATAGGTAACCTCCAAAGTTCGCCGGGTCTTCTGGTATATATATAAAATAATACATAAAAATGGAGTGAGTAATAGTTAAATGTTAGTGGAATATCATGAGAATAAAGCTAGTATGCTTAAAACTTGAAATGTAAGTAACATAGTTGTGTGTTTCAAATATCCCTACTAATATTATAAATGCGAAAGTAACTCTGTTTGTCTGTTACGCTTTCACGTCTAAACCACTGAACTGATTTTAATGAAATTTGATACAGAGATAGAGTTAACCTTGAGAAAGAACATAGGATAGTTTTTATCCCAGACTTGAAAGGTTCTCTTGGAAACGTGATATAACCGAACTACACTCGGTCGGAAAGCTAGTATGTGATAATTATTATTAAATTCAGATGACTGGTCCAAAATTAAAGCTACTGCTATATAAATATTTTAGATATAATTTACCTCAGAACAAGACACTTGAGTTTCAAACATTTAACACGTAGAATGTCTATAGCTTTCTGGCTCTTGTCACTGAAACGAAGGTTCTCAGGGTCCCATCTAAGTTCGAGCCTCTCGAGGTTAGGACAGCTATTAGCGATACCATCCATTAGCTATGAAATAATTATAATAATTTATTATACTTAGTCTATATATAATAAAAAAATTCAATATATACATATATTTATTTAATACCTGATCAACGTGAATATTAACGCCAAGTCGTTCCTGTGTACCCATGATTAAGATCCTGAAATATATAAAGAAATGCATTACTCGAGAAATCAGGGCTCAGAAAGTGAGTAGACTGTTAATACTTGATATAGAAAATTATAGGTATATAACAATTGGATTGAGAAAATACAATTTCATATTAATTTCATGAAAGTATACTTATTAATATTCAATGTTAGTTGATAAGCTGAGTGTCTCCTTTAAAAACTCTTAAGTATTTCCTTGAAGGTCCTTTAATTGTAATTGAAAAATAAACACAAAAATTATTTGAATTCTTTGTGTCTACTGTCTACATGAGAAAAGAAAAGAGGTATATCTTGTTCGGTATGTGAGCAAGGGTTACAATTGGCGCCATCTGTGCGGTACTAATTATAATATAATCCTAAGAATTATTTATATGACTAATTATATATACTGGACAACTCGAATTTTGTAATGGCAACATTAAAGTATTATATTACAATCCAAAACTACAAATAGGTACTGTCTTCAACCATTTTGTAGCAATACTAGAAGTAACGCTGAACAATGAAAATAAATACTGAAACTGTATCTCAAACTCATGACTCTCATTTGTTCTAGAATCTAGAGGAACGTCACTATAAATATTGAACATTAGATATACAACGAAAGCGTAATCTTTCTTATCTTCTGGGTTACTGTAATGTATTCAGTGCTGTAACTAGGGCGGTGCCAGCAGTGCGCAGGCACAAGGCGCAGATCCTGGAGGGGCGCAGAAATGAGCAGACTAGTATCTAGTTTTATCTCATGCATGGTAGCTATATACTTTGTTACTTTGGTAAACAACAAATAGATAGATTTATTTGTATGCACATTTGTCCATTTTATTTTTAAGAGCCCAGTTAGAGCATTTTTCAGTTTTGAAAGTTCGCACCGCGTGCATAAAAGTCTAGTTACAACACTGAATGTATTATAAGTAATAATCCATACTGACTTGGCGTTAGTGAGTAGTGAGAGCACACTCTGCCACAACTGGTCGGTGATGTGAGGCATGCCTGCTAGCGCCAGGCCGTGCAGCGCGCCGCCGTGGCGCGATAGGAATCGGTGGAGCGCCTCGTCTGATAGATTGTCTGACGCATCCACATCCAAGGCTACGAGGTTCCTGCACACACACACATATATATATACAGGGTGACTGGTGAATTACTATCGATACTTGAGGACGTGATATTTGACGATCATATATGACAAAATAAAAATTAATATAACATAAATATTAATAAACTTCTGAGTAAAGTTAACCAAAAGTTATGTAATTAATTACGCATCGTATGAACACCCTACAGATTAGGTATACACACACACTCACACACACACTTGGAACACGTGGAGCGTGTCAACACTTTATTTATTTATACGGAAATTTTGTCAAAAATTAAGTGCCTATTTTTTTAACATAATTCGAATGAGAATCATGTACCGAGTATTCTCCTTAAATATTGATAGTAATTCACCAGTCACCCAGTATAAAGTAGCCTATGTGTTATTCCTGGACGTCAGTTTCCTGACTACAAAATGTTATCAAAATCGGTTCAGCCGTTTGAGCGTAAAGAAGTAACAAACACACACTCACAAACTTTCGCAATTGTAATATTAGTTGGATATTTATTATTATTATTTCCATTCATTCGAGTAACAATGACTCAAAAATAATACATAAATCTATATACATATATAAAAATGAATTGCTGTTCTTTAGTCTCGCCAAAAATCGAGAACGGCTGAACGGATTTATCTTATCTTAGTCTTGAAATGTTCGTGGAGGTTCGGGGAAGGTTTAAAAGCTAAAAAATTTATTCATTTCCGGGAAAACCCTAAAAACGGCCTTTTTCTATTTCCCATACAAACTGTTTTTTTTTTACATTAGATTTGACAGCTAACTAATATGTCAATCATTCTGTCGCACTTCAAAACACGGAGATTTATGGATTAAAGGTAAACTCAAAAAATATAAATTAAAAAAACGTAACAGATATTTCTTGATTATAAAGCGATACGAAGTTCCCCGGGTCTTCTAGTTATTAATAAAAAATTATACATAAATTGTTACAATATAATACAACAATAATATAATAAATTATTTAAAGAATACAAATTTAATTTGCACGGAAAATTTTAATTCCCGAACGTCCCGAAGTAACGTTACAGCGATGACATTTGGTTTGTTCACTTTTACGCGGGAAAGTATTAGACGACGCGATTTGTGTTTGTGAATTGAATTTAACTTATTTATGGTGTTTTGTTCTCGTTAAGATTTGATTTATCATTTAAAAGTAATGGCTTTATAAAATAAGTATATTTTTTAATTATTTTGATCGAATCCTAAATATATCAAAGGACATTAAGAAAAATCTCCATACCATTTCGAGTATTCGTAATGTTTTAAATGTAATGTCAGTTAGGATACTTAAAGTCAATATTGAATTCGAGCCAAAAAATTATATTAATGCATTTCATTGAATGTAATTAAAATAATTGTCATGCAATTATATTTCGCTTTTATTATTTTCAGTCCTGGAGCGGAACTAAAAAGAGGTACATATTAAAATCTCAATATATCAATATAATATAATTTGGTACATAGATAACATCGTGGTATGATAGTTACCTTCTAAAGTCGCATTTATTTTGATAAACGCATAAACTTAGGCACATACAGACACATTAATCTTGAAATAAATGAAATATCTTTGTAATTTTTATTTAAAAAAAAACGTAGGAAAACAAAATACTAATTATTAAATTTTAAAGCTAGAAATTGTGTTGTTATTGTTAAAAGTAAAACGAAATTAAATATTGTTTAAAAGGAGAATAGAACTATGTTTAAATCTTGGTATAAATATGACGTCTGGACGCACGACGGCAGACTTCAGTGAGTGCGTATCATTGAAGTATAGGAATATGAAGAACCTTCGATAAATACAGAAGCATTAAGAACAATAATTGAAGTTTCATTTTAAAATATCATTGAACGTACTAGAAGAAGTGACATTTGTTACGTCAGCGAGGCTGGCGTCTCTCTCTTTAAAAATAACGAATTTGTAATAAATTCGATATATAGTTGTTTTACGAAAATATTACTCAAATAATTTTATTGAAACCCACAACCGGTAACTTAACATTGTAGGATACAGTTTACAGTTCAGTTATTATTATCTAAAAAATAATATTAATGAATGTAAATATGTATTTAAAAAACCTAACTTATTCTTCTAGCTAACCTGGCAGTCCCAGCCTCCATCCAAGCTTTAAGCACGGAGTCATTGAACCCGTTGATCTGCCCCGCGGACAGGAACCTCAGGCCGGGGATCCGTGTCAGCATGTCTATGAGACACTCGGTGGACAGGTCGGTGGCCGTCACGTCCAGCTCCTGGATGGAGGACTTCTCCCACTCCACCTGCATCACGTTGGATGATTGGAGACCTGGAATGAATACAGCTGGAACTTGGAAGACTATCACAGATAATGGTTTGTTATTTTGTACGAGTAAAACAAGGAGCGAAACCTTACTTTACGTCATGGATATCAGTGGCGTAACTACACTTTAAGAGAATCGTGGCAAAATTCATGGGACCCCCCCTCCCTTCGCTGAACGTCCAATGATGGTAGTTTTTTTATAACACTTATATAAAATATAAATATATTTTTCGTCTGACCGGGGGTCCCTTCCGACTGGGAGCCCATGGCATTTTGCCGACTTGCCACCCTGTAGATACGCCACGTAAAAACAAGAACCATTGTCTTCAAATAGTAGTGATCACGAGGTTTATGTGAAATATTTGATAAGAAAGACGTTGATATTAAGGGGGCGTTCTTAAATTACGTGGGTTTTTTGTAATTTTCTATACCTACTCCTTCCCCACCTTTGGTGAAATGTCGTTAAATTTTATATAAAACCTTTCCCAATCTCACGTGAGATGTTTCAAAATGTGGGTTTTTTATATATTATTGGCTGGCTTATTATTGTAAAAAGAAAAATGGTATAATTTTGTTACATTCACAAAAAAATAAATTTGCCGAGACCCCTCTCTCTTATACGTAAGATTAGCTGAGTTTTAACTCGACCCCCTCCCTCCTTACATCTCACATATTTTACGACCGCCCTCTAAGATAATACAAAATTGTTAGTCAAATTCTAACTATAAATAAACGATGTTCGTTTGTTCATTCATAAATCTTTACATATCATTGTATAGAGATAGGTATAGTCCGTTAGGCCTCGGCCTCGAATCTCGCGGGTAGCGGGGCGGCAGCGGCAGCGGCGCGCCAAGGGGGCGGGCAACGCATACCTGTTCTCGAAACTAGCGGGCAGATCGCGCGGCACTATAGCGGTGTAGTGTTGTGTTCGTGGTTGTGTTGTCGAGATATTTGTTTTATTCGCGAACAAAATGTCTGAAAAACGGCGACATCTTTATGATTCGAAATCATTCCTAATGCTCGATTTATTGTGGGCAAAAGAAGAAGTGGATCCCTACTATAGGGCAAGGAAAATAAATGGCGAGTTTTATCGAAACTATGAAGAACAGAGACAAAATCCCGACAGATTCTACGACTACACCAGAATGAGTGTAGAAACATTTGACTATATTCTTGAAACTATCAAGAGTGATTTAGAGTCTGGAATTAATTCAAAACGATTTAGATCTATATCTTTTAGAAATTGTGTTGCACTAATTTAGTAAATCAGTGTAAACTCTATATAACGACAACAATTAAGTAATAAAAAATACCTTTTAAGTGGCTAAAATTAGTAAAAACTGCGCAGCTGTGTACGCTCTTTTGTCGCTTTGTTATCCTAACCCGCAATAAATTCGACAGTCATACCGAACTTTCTAAGAAATTTGTTCTTTTGTTTACCATTACAAATTGCTTACACGTGAAAAATTCAAAGAATATTTTGTAAATAATCGCATTAGTTACTAATTAATTTGTAAAAGATAATAAATATTGTATTTGACATAATAAATCATTATAATATTTACCTTCAATATTCAGTTCGTTTTTTATTTCTTCCCATAATTGGTTAATTCATCTTCTATTTTTATGGTTCACTTCTTTGCTGTTCCATAAGGGTGTCCTCTCAAAGATTGCCGAAATAATTTGCTCTTGCACGTCCGAATACATTTTGATACGTCACAAAAAAAAATTACAACACTACAATGCAGACGCGCAACGCGGGCGGTCACCGCTTCACAGGAGTGCACCCGTGCACCGCTCGTTGCCCGCCCCCGCCCTGCTCCTGCACCGCTGTATTCGAGGGTCGGTCCATTTGATTATACGCGTATGATCTTGCCGCTCCCGCTACCCGCGAGATTCGAGGCCGAGGCCTTAGACTTAAGCTGAGCTTTGCATTTGTGTGAGTGAAAGTAAAAGTAGAGTTACACAAAAAACTTTTAGAATTCAATTTTATTATATTTTAAATAGATACATAACATAAATGCTATAAAATAAGCAAAACTTGTAAAAGGCTAGATGGAAATATTATTAATATTATGGAAAAAAAAATATTGATTAATAAAAAATTAAAAAAAACTATACAAATTCTTCATCACTTGACATTGCGTTTTCAACATTTGATTTTGCTACCATTACAAAAGATGAAGTGTGGAAGGTGCGGGGCGGAGTAAAAGCAGAATAAACCGGTTAAAAACTAGAAAAGAACGTTTCATTCAAAAATTTGACATCACACCTACACTATGCGTGTACACTCACACAAATACAAAGCTCAGCTTAAATCAAACGCATTATATGTATACTGTTTGTATAATACATACTACATCCGTGCATCAAGAGGCAAGTGAGTCTCCTGGAGCGTTGGAACAAAGTCTTCATCGTGGAGCCGGTCACCTTGTTACAGAAGTTCACCGCCAGGCATTCCAGCTGAAGAAATATTATACCTTAGAACGCGTCTCTATAGTACATAGTAACTAAAAACTGAACGTAACATCGTTTTTGTTCAAACATCAAGTATGTATGTTTCCCTACTAATATTATAATTGCGAAAGTTTGTGTGTGTGTGTATGTTTGTTACTTCTTCACGCTCAAACGGCTGAACCGATTTTGATAAAATTTTGTATACAGGAAGCTGACGTCCAGGAATAACATATAGGCTACTTAACGTCCCGGAAATCCGCGGGTAATAGTACATATAAAGAAAAGCTCTCAATAAAAATATTTAAGAAAATAGTTATTAATGCTAAGGTGTTAAGGTTGATAATTGTTTATATTATTTAACGATAAGTGCGATTAAGTTTAAAAAGAACGCCTAAAAAATTACTATTAAAAAAACGACGCTCAAAATTTTATAAAATAAAATAATATCTATTTATTTTTAATCACTATTCAGTAATACTAATTACATATAAAGTTGGCTAACAATTCATATCTCATGATCAAAACAATTTATATTGTACAGGTGACATATTAACATTTAGAGACGTTAGCTAGTCTACAAACAAAAGTTATTTAATGTATGCCAATTGTATAATACAGGATGACTGGTGAATTACTATCAATATTTAAGGAGCATACTCGGTACATGATTCTCATTCGAATTATGTAAAAAAAATAGGTACTTAATTTTTGACAAAATTTCCGTATAAATAAATAAAGTGTGGACACGTTCCAAGTGTTCCAAGTGTGGACGCGTGCGGCGGCGTGCTGATACAACACTAAGCCGACGCACGCGTATGTGTGAGTGTGTGTGTATACCTAATCTGTAGGGTGTTCACACGATGCGTAATTAATTACATAACTTTTGATTAACTTTACTTAGAAGTTTATTAATATTTATGTTATATTAATTTTTATTTTGTCATATATGATCGTCAAATATCACGTCCTCAAGTATCGATAGTAATTCACCAGTCACCCTGTATATTATATTGTTACAATTTATTAAGGCGCTATTCATTTTATTAATAATACGATAGTATTTATAACTCAATCTATACATATGTTAGTTTTTCTTTGAATTAGTATAACGTAGTTTAATGTATAAAATATAAATGTATCTCATACCTACTTAAAAACGACAAACATTAATCTTACTTCATTTTATATTAAAAATCATAAATTGAGTATAATAGAAAGATTTATATTTTTAACTCTTTATCTAAAGTAGAAATTCGCATTTCCACACATGTATGTTTTTCATTAAATGTATATTATTAAATATATTTCTTATTAAGAAACATATCTATCATATATAAATCTGTTATGTATATAAAGCTATGTTCAAATAGACAAGTGATCTACTACAGTGAAGTGCCGCGTATGAATCAATTAACTGTCACATTACACGTCATAATAAGTTTAATATGTATTAAATGAATCCTTGTTCGTAGTAAATTTAGTTATGTCATTCGTTTGTTTGTATATAATACTAGCTTTCCGCCCGCGTGTAGTTCGGTTGTATCGCGTTCCCAAGAGAACCTTTCAAAAATCTGGGATAAAAACTATCCTATGTTCTTTCTCAATTCAACTATATCTCTGTACCAAATTTGATTAAAATCAGTTCAGCGATTTAGGCGTGAAAGCGTAACAGACAGACAGAGTTACTTTCGCATTTATAATATTAGTAGGGATTAAATGAATGAAGGAAAGAAATTATTGTACGTAATAAGTGTTATTCTCCTATTATTACCTGTATACAGTTGGAGCTAAAAGCATCTATATGTGAGTCATCTACGAAGTTAATCCCATACAAGTTGATCACTCTCAAGTTGGGTGTAGCTGACTTTAGTTTGTGAACATTTATAACTTCGTATATTTCTTCTTCTTCCTCTTCGACTTTTTCGTATGTACCTTGATTAAAATATCTTTATATATATAATTCTTCTGTGAGTGTGTATGTCACTGAACTTCTCTCAAAAGATCGGACCGATTTTGATGAAATTTTTTGCGTATTCAAGGGGATCTGGGAATGGTTTAGATTCACAATTTTGTCCGCTGGACAATGTTTTTTTAATTAATTTTTAATTTATTAGTAGTTGTTGATACAAACGTTTTTTTTTTACTTTAGATTTGACAATTAATTAATATGTCAATCATTCTGTCGCACTTCATAACACGGAGATTTATGGCTTTAATAGGTAAACTCCAAAAATAGTAACAGATATTTCTTGATTATAGGGCGATACGAAGTTCGCCGGGTCTTCTAGTATATATGTATAATGTATTTAGGTATGTTTGTTAATTCAGACGTCTATTCATTATATACACAAAGTTATACATTGTTAATCTATAGTTTTAAATACATTTTGATAGCTATTAGGTAGGTATGCAGATAGTTCTTCTAATCTCATTTACATGTTTTTAAAAATACGTTAACGTCTTCAAAAAATGCAAATATCTTGAGCAATTCTTTGAGTTTGTTAAGTGAACACATTGTGAAATGAATTTTTTAAAGTTTAAATATGAATCTTATACTGTGAAATCTATTTATAATTCTCAAACAAACATAAGAAATACACAGCGTATATATTATAGTTATTTGTTTTTTATTAATATATAACGGTTGTAGCTCTCTACACCATCCCTCATCTCATCTCATCTCATCTCATCTCAACTCATCTCAACTCATCTCAACTCATCTCAACTCATCTCAACTCATCTCATCTCATCTCATCTCATCTCATCTCATAGTCTGTAACTCACCTATCAAATGTAATATTTCCAGTCCATTGATGAAATTGTAAATCTTCCTCATGAATCCTTCCATGAATATAACTTCCGACAGACAGATGCACAAGTAACGCAGCTTAGTAGGAAACGCCTGCATCTCGGAAAAGTCGTGAAGTTGCATCGCTGAAATATATTAATAGTATTATAAAGATATAATATATATAGATATTTATAGTTAGAATTTTTTGGAGGAATCTTTGTTTTGAAATCAGTTTACGATATCAATAAAAATAACTAGGTTACGTATGCTCAACAAATTTAAAAATAAAACTAGAATATTTATTAGAGGAACTTTTGTTTTGAAATAAGTTAATAATTAAATGAACATCGCCGGGGTAACATCGTTGTATGTATAAAATACAGGTACGAGTGACGTTGCTGACTCCGTGGAACGAACACCAAGCCGTGTGAACCAGAAGATTACTGATATTACACAAGCTATGGAATGGTATTGATATACTAACATCGGGGCAATCATGTAGTCTTAGGTGTAGGTATAGTTTTAATATGTAGTTCTTATTATAATATGTAAGTAAGTTTCATAGTTCTCCTGAAACCTTCGTTTGCCAATTGCCACTCTATATAAATAATATTTTATATCAAAACTTACCTGTACTGAAATCTAACAACATGTGCGTCAAATTAGGACATTTAGCTGCCAGTTCGTGTAATACAGTGTGAGTTATCAATTCTATCGGCAGTTCGATGTATCGTAGAGACGGACCGAATCTTATTGATATTAAAGCAAGGAGAGATTCCAGCGAGCCTGCGAAAAAATAATAGCAATTTTACAATAATACGTTTCTGCATTAAATTTTGTACAGTTAACAAATATATATAATAAAAAACATATATAATATACACAATATTTCAATGATAAAATGATTTTTAATAGATTATTTTAAAGTAAGATGTAAATTAGTAATAATTGAACCAAAGTATATTAACTGGCAATACTAGTGTCAATTGACGTAATTCTAAAGCGTTTGTTTATGTAATGACTATATTGAATTTGGAACTTTTTTACTTAGCAATATACTTACATAAAATAGCACAATATTGCAACTATATAATATATTATTTAATTATGAGTTTACTAACCAACATGGAGTCCAGATATCTCCGGTCTCAAACTAACGTGCGTCCATAGTTTTGTATCGTAAGCGACCATGCGCCATCTCTTACAAACGGTAGCCATACGACATATTTCACGGTGGGATAAATACGAAAAGATATTAAGCAATACCTTATCTGGTAGCTTCTCTATAGTCTGAAACAAGAATTTTTAATAAACCTTCTTTCTTAATGTATTCACATATCTTATATCTAAAAACCAATCAGACTTTTGAGGAATATTACTTTACCGTATTAGCAAATGGACTCCTCAACTGGCCGCCTTCGGTCAAATACACCTGACTCGCTTCCAAAGCCAGCTGGCCCCACACATCCGTAGGTATATCCATAACTTAATAATAAACACTTAAATGCACATGAAATGCCTCAAACACTTACAACTCCATGCGCGTATACGATCTAATAATATGAAAAGCTATGTTTAATTTTGGAACCAGCTACAACTCGCCCCAAACATAAGAAATATGTCGTTTCAATACTTTTTTTTTAATCACAAATGATTTTTATATGATATAATATAATATATATTTATTTGAACGTATAATATTATGTTATATAATTGTTATATTCGTTTATTGTGAATGACGTTAATTTAGTTTTGGATAAACAGAAATGGCGGCGAATTTGAATTCCATGTTTTCATTCAGTGTTTTTTGTTTTAACTGACGTGTTTATTTCTTTTATTCCTGGGAGGAGGGATTGGTTCCTCGTCTGAGGCTTCGTCAGTTGGTTCAACATCTGAGTTAATGAGAAGCATTAGCATCTGCAAGTGGAAGTCTTTATCCGGATGAAACGGCATTGTTATATCCTGTATACAAACGATAATATTTAAAAATATATTATTTATTAATGATCTTTCATTATGTAATTTATCATGTTTATATTGAGACGCGATGTTAAATATTTGGCGCTATTTGGACGATACATACTTACTAGTGATTTAGATTTACGATTTGTATGGAGGTTTAATATTTTTTCATTTAAAAAATGTTTTGCATACTGTATATAAAATATTCATTATGAATTTAATGTATTAGTGTTAAATTTTAAATATAAAGATTTTTTTACTCTTGCAATAATCCTTATCTTTCTTTAGATATCCTATATATACATATATATGTAATATTATTTATATATGTATTGTATATTTCTGAACGTACATCATTATATACGTTCAAAAACACGTCGACCATAGCATTATTAGTTTATCCAAACATTAAGCGGATCTCGATATATTCGATAAAATAAATTGAAATCCATTAAGCTTTTTGGAAGCACTGAGCGATTACAGATATCTCTGCTTAAACTAATGGCATGTGAATTATTTTGACACTAACAAGCAATTATATATCTAATTCTGTGGTTGTTAAGAGCCAAAGTCGTAAAGCCGTCTGGTATTTTCTTGACCCGTCTGTCTTGAATTCGTATTGGCAACAGATTAGGTATTTCCTGGATAGATGACTCATTAACAAAACACTTTCGCGATCAAATACTTTTGTACATTGTAACAAATACGATGCTAATACGTTGTTGAAATTATAAAGCCATGAATTTACTTTAGATTCTTCAATTTTCATAATATTTTTTTATCTTTAATGATACTGAGAAAACGGATAAAACGTTTGTTAAAATTTTTAATTGGTTGTCAATATCGAAATGCCTTTAATTTTTTTATAGTCTGTAGACTGAAAAAATGAAAACCAGTTAAATTATTTAATTATATATATAAATTTGTCTTTATTTCTTCATATTTTTAAAGACGTCAACAATTATTTTCTCATATAACATACCTTGCTATCAATTCGTTTTAATTCAATTTCAGTCTTGACATATGTCTCTCAACGTCAACAATGATGACAGCTGTCTAAATGTATAAAATATATTTATACCATTTGGTATATATGAGGTGATTTTTATATTAATAAACTTATTAAATTATTTGAAAGGAAACATCAGGTTATAATGTTCAGATTTATAAATAAAATTTTAAACATTTGTATAACGTATTTTAGCTATAACAAAGCAGTGGTTATGTATGTACATCAAATTGACAAATTGCATTGTAGTAATGACTCAGTATTTTCAATTATGAGTTAAAAATTGAATGTATGCCTAATAATATTAGATTTATATGCAAAAATAGTTGTATAAATACAATAACTATTGTTTAATCAGAAGAAAAACTAAGAGTTATTTATTTTTGAAAATACAAAGATTGTAGAATCCCAATTGAATTTGTAGTATAAACAAAATAATAATTATTTCATGTATTTGTAAAAGTTTTTATGTAAACTGATTTTAGTCTTGAAAAATTTAAGATTCATTTAAAGATATACATATTTCACAGTGAATAATGACAGCAGTTGCTTTAAAATATATGGTAACATTGAATGACCTCGTACAATTATTGTGTCACTGACAGTTAATTCCGATCCGATGCTTTTGGAGGCAAAATAGTATGAAATAAAAAATATTTACTACTAAATATTGTAAGTCACACTTCTTTAATTGATAATAATTTAAATGTTTTAATCTATTATAATAGCTTTGAATCTTTCTTTTATACTTACTATGTTCGATCAAATGGAAATATATATTAACTTAATTTAAATAATCATACTCTTTATATAGATGCTGTTTAAAATCGTTTACCTATTTCACGTATCAGTATGCTTATTTTGAGTTCTTCTCACACTCCACACTCCGCGTCTTCCGTCTCTCCCTCAATAACCCACGTTAATACTATGTATAATGTGTGAAGATTTATTAATGAAATACTGTTAACGATACGTATGTAGTGACGATGCCAACTTAGACTAAGCATAATGTTAAATTATCAGAATGATATATGTATATAATGAGAAACGCAGTAATAGTAGAGATCATAGTTTTCATAATAAAAAAATCATTAGAAAAATTTAAGTATTGTCTATTTTTCTATCGACAACATTTTCTGAGACCATTTAGTAAATACAGTATGACTGTTCGTGTTTTAGTTGATGCAAGACAGAAACATTATGGTACACGAAAACATGACAGTTTTCGTAAACTATCAAACAATTATTAGAGTAATATTAATAATAATTGAAAATCATTCATACATGTCATTATTTTTGTACATTAGAACAAGTTTATATCGTCATACAAACAATGAGTTTCGCGTTTTCTACTTATTAACCTATTACTATAAGGACCAATGGTTTTCGAACAAACTTTTCGTTTGTAGTATGCCGCAATTTCGTACTAAGGTTATATTAATATTATATTAATATTTTCAAAAGATCTCCGTTCATATCAAACGTGGGTAGTAATTTAGATTATAGTATGTGCGACACGTGTGACGTCATCGTGTTATTTTTTTTTTCATACAAAATTATTTTTAGTATACAAATATTTCACTTATAAATATTCTTGAGTAATGTTATGATAATTTCAACTTTAATCAAATATTTAAATGAATTTAATATTTTTCGGATACACTACGGGTGATTTATTTTTGATTAAAAAAACTATATAATCGATGGTGATAGATGATAAAAAATAAAAGTAACTGACAGACATTGACATCTCGTCTGCCCGTGATCGCGGTTGATGTAAATTAACCGAAACGTCGGGAGTATGTATTTTTTTACAAATATAAAGCACGCGTAGTATATCCGAAAAATATTAGTTTCATTTAAAAAAAAAAACTCGCGATAGTCCTAGATCTAATTATTTAATCAAATAGTATACAAATTACAATTGGTAGAGAAAATAATTGAGTAGGTATAGTGTTTTAAACAAATTCTTTAAATTTTGTATATTCATCTACTTCTTAATATAAATATTTTGCGATACTCAAAATGATATTTTTTTAACCAAATGAGGTATTATTTATACTTCTTAAGTTATCATTATGACAATAACTGGTAAGACTTGTTCTGCTATATTATATTTTTAAATATAATATCATTAGTATTGGAAAAATATACCATGTAACTGTACCTACATACATATAATAAAAAAACCACAAAAACAGAGTTACCTATTTTATTACAAATTAGTTTATACATATATCTATATCTTGGTAAGAATTTTCTTGTATACCTATACCTATGTATATATTTTAAAACACAGATCGCGTTTTGTCTTAAAACTATATATCAAAACTTCGTGACAATATTTTAACATCATAATTAGATACAAGATTTTTTAATGGAACGATGAACTAATGTTTATTTTGGTAGCCATCCGTGGAATTTTAATATGAACGGAAAAAAACTTCGGATTAATTAGTTGTGTTATAAAAAATATCTTATTTATATAGATTCGCAAGTTGTAGTAATTCATAATCTATTGAAAAGATCGTATTCGTATTGTTAAAACAATTGAATCGTTATTTGTATGGTAATATAAAATTGACTAATATTTTAATTAACACATCAAAATATATTTGAATTACTGTCGTTTATGGAAAACAATATGTAATTTACATTGGATTTTTAAAATTTCAGTGATTTTAGAGATTAGGCATTAGTGTATGAGTTGTCGGATCTATATAACAGAATCCTTGCCTTAAAATATAATGTAATTATTATCCCTTAATAAGTCTAAATGGCCCTCATTTAGAATTTTGAAATTTTGTATTACTATTAACAAAAAATCACCAAGATGTAATATTTGTTACATATAAAGGCAAATAAATTATCAGTAAAATAAAATGTTGAAACTGGAAAAATAATAAAATATTTAAGGATATATTTTTGTATAAATTATAATCTGTCACCAAACAACATACCATAGTCTGTTTACGTCGAAAACTAGAGGTCATGTCATCTCTAGATATGGCCGCCGCCGCGGTGTCAACGTTCAATATACCCCATGAATCCATTTTATTTAAATTATTTTACGATCACAACACAAATCAGTTACCGCACTACGTCCGACGCGTCGTTCGCGTCGCTTTGGCGCGAAACAGTGTTCGAAAGTGTCATCGCGTTCTGTGCTAGCGTTGTTTAATATTATGTAGCGTACAAGCACCGTTCATGTATATATTTATATGTCGTCAGATTTAAATTGGCAGTCCAAAATAAGTACGGCATTTTGCTCCAACTGGGCTGTACCGTGCTGATGCCAAGACGAATCGTGTTTCGTATTGCATTTTGTGTCACGGCAGCGATCGAGTGTGTTATGTATACATATATACATATATTTATATATAGGTGTTGTATTCAACGTTTATGGCATCATTGACCGCTTGATTTTATTGTTAATAAATATTATTATGTTTGAAATTCCTTATACATGATTTTGTAGCTTCAGTAAGAATATTTGTAATGGTAGATAATCTCGTCTTTAAATACACTCTCTTATTAATTTAACCGACTTTATATTGATAACCACTAAGTATCAGATATTTTTCGTTTTAAACCAGATGTAATGTTTAAATCAATATTGTATATAAACTTTTTAGTTTTATTTAATGTCGTACCTAATTTTTTTTTATTAGATAAGGATGAAGGTCTTCACAAAAACAGTATAATAAGTCATGTTTATGTAAATAAATCCAGAAAATAGGAAAAATATAATTATAATAATAAATTTAAAACAACGAAAATATTGTTTTATTTCGATCCTTTTTTTTTTTTGATGACGCAGGGGAAACTCTTTACGAGCCGTCCAACCGTCCAACCGGTGGGGCCGGAAGGGATGTGTGAGGCTCGGCCTGGGCAGGCCCCTACTCACTAAAACCACTGAAAGCCATCGGCCGCTATGTCGGTGTACCCCGGATCTGTCAGCGACAGGGTACACCAGCGACTGGCCGGTCCTGGCAAAGACCGGACTTACTCCCTCGGAGAATGGGGGCGATCCTGGCAATTAGGACCTCCCCGACGACGCCGGGCTTTCAATAGGGCCGGGTTACCACGCCGACCCCAGCCCGGAACACAGGGGTGTTATTGGAGGCGTTGGAATTGCCTCCGTCGCACCCCCGTACGTCGTCTGCGGGGGGAGGGAGCATCAGCCGCCCTCTCCCTTTCCCGCTCAGATGCCTCCTTCGTGGACATGACCGTCTCACAGAAGGAGGACACCGCCAACCAGGACCCATCACTCTCGAGCATCTTCTCCACGACACTCGAAAGCGACAGGTCCACTCCGCCGAGAGCCGCCACAAGGTCTTGGCGCTGCGCAGCCCATCTCGGGCACACCTCGAGGGTGTGCTGGGCCGAGTCCACCGCAGCGCCGCACTCATGGCAGCCTTCTACAGGTAGAAACCAAAGCACCCGTGCCCGGTTAAGACCTGCGTCAGACGGAAAGTGAGAGGTTTGCGTTTCCGCCTCATCCAACGCTCTAGGACCGGGTGAAGCGCTGCCGTTGTACGTCTACCGTACGGCTGCTCCGCCAGGTCCTCCCCCCACTCCCGCATAAGGCGCTCCTCCCCCTGCCGACGAACCGCTCGGATCTCCTCCGACGAAGGGTTTTCGCCGAGTGCCCTCCTACCCGAGACAGGAGAATAACTCGGCTCGAACCGACGCCACGAGATCCCAAGGCGGATCGCCGGCAAGTTTTATTTCGATCCTAATTCAACTCTTGCCATACAGTCCTAATTCTGTTCAGTCCTCTTAATTCTATGACCATTTATAATAAAATACATAATCAGTAATTACTTTCATATAAATAATACTAACATTTTGGGATGTACTACGCTTTTTTTTCAAACTAATAATCAGGCGCGGTATATCCGAAAAACTTAATTTCTATTTAAATTTATACAAGCTAATATCTTAGATTTAATTACGTTTATACTTAATTAGGGCAAAATTTTCTTCAACGTCGTCTTATATACGAAAATATTCTGAAATAAGCTTGAGAATAGTCAAGGGATATTGTATAGTTAAACTTCATATTATAATATGAGAACGAACTATTGAAAATATTACATACGTATTTATATATTGTGACTAAGAGAAAATACATGAAAGTTATATATAATAATCAGTCTGTGGCCTAAAAAAAGCTCTAAAATATTAAATCCATGTTTCCTATTAAAGAATAAAAAATATTTATCTTAAGTTTTAACTTTATTAAATGAGCAATAGGTCTCGATGAATATACTCTTTCTTCTACAAGACAAACAACGGCATTTATATTATACAATATAAATGCCGTTAATTTCAAGGTTTTTTTAATTATTTAAATGTTCAAATAATAAATAAAACATTGTATGTATTTAAAATAAAATATAAAACGCCATCTGTGTTAATACAAAAATATTTTTTCACTTTGAAGTTTGATCAAACCATAAAGTAACAGAATTGACATTTCATTGTCAAACTAATGTTGCCAACAGTTAGTTTTATTTCCCAGGAAAAATAATAAAGTAGATTAAATTATAAAATTTTAGGGCTATAAATACAAAAAAATCAATGAGTATTTAAAAAATAAAATCTTTTAAAATCAAAAAGTAGTTTCATTTTTTCAACTTCGTTGTTATGTATATACATATATGTAATTATTGTAATTCAGAGTTTCAAATGAATTCATTGAATATACAATGTATTTGATTTTTATAAACAAGTATATATCGACAATGTTTGCGGAAAATGTTAGCAGGAGAAGAGGGATAAAGGCAATTGAAAGAATGATGACATAACTAATTGGAGAGAAAAAGATCAAATCTTCCAAATGTTCCAAAAAGTTTAAAATTTGTATATGTATATTAATCAATTATGTATTTCTTGTTAACCCTATCGACCTATGAAAGGCAAGGCAAAAGGCAAGGGTCTTTTTCATTTTCTTGCTTGTTATTATTAGGTTCAAAAATTAGAAACCTTAAGTTTTATTTGGTTTTTCATCATATTCTGATTTGACAATTTTTGTATAAGATACAAAAATCCCTAAAACTTAAATTTTTTTCAATTCCGTTTTTTTACAATTTTCGAATGGTAAAATGGTAACACAATATTATCAGTTTTCTTTAGGATCGCGTATGTCAAAACTCAAAACAAAAATTTATCTTTCTATTTACAAGTTTTAATAATGTCATTAAATATAATGTGATATCGTTGTTATCTATTGCTTAAATAAATATTGTTTTTTTTTTTTTCTTTCATTTAAAAACTAATTTTCATCAATACTTGTTATGAACTAAGAGCAGTAATATTCAACTTTCTCACTCAGTCTCCCACAATAATTATAACATTTGATAAGGATGGCAATATATACTCGAACAATTTCATCGATATTTTACTCGAATGAGATTAAGACGTATGGAAGTAAAGTTTTAAAAATAATTTGTTAATATTATTGGAAATATTACATTAATAAATGTTTTTTTCAAATATAATTAAATATATTGAGAAATATGTACAATCGATTCCATATAATCGTTTCATAAACATATCGTTCATGTCTAAATATTCGAATGATAATCGATTTCTCCGATGTCCCATGACAATTGACATTCGCTTTGAAACAAAATAAACAATGACGGAATTAATGTAATAATTTGGCATTTGCTAATGCTATTCGATTATTTGAACTGACACAGTATTAATGTATATTGTGCTGTCGTTGATTTCGGTAGTAAATGTACTGCTCAAAATAAACACTGATTATTAAAAGTTAAAATAATTTCGTCGCTAGCGGAGATGTTTTAATGGTCTATCTGTGGAGATAACGGACGCACTCGATTTCAGTGTAGATTAGTACGTCTGCCGGAATCTTCACATATAATGGAAAAACTTTATAAAGAAATATAGTGTGGTGGAGTCGAGACATATTTAGCGCCAAAAAATTATTCTGGTGTATTATATTAAATTAAGTATTAATTAAAATGGCGAGTGCGGAGAATTTAATGGCGGGATTTTTGCCTGAATATTTTTATACTTTTGTGGAGGAATTAGATGAGCATCCCTGGTTATTTTCGGCTCTCGCATCAGTTCTGGTCGGTTTGAGTGGAATCTTGCCTCTACTGATCATACCCATCGATGAAACTGCAAACTTTAAAGACGGCGGTAAGTTCATTAAATATATTTTTTTATTGATTATATAAATAATTCATAGATTTTGTCGTGTTAAAATTCGTCGTGTGTACGGACAAAGACGATAAGTGACAACGACGTCTTTGTTTCCTCTTGATATAAATAAACTGTGATAATTGATGTACGACATAAATAGGACGAAAGTTATGGCATTCAAAAATAATTTCACAAAAAAAAAAAATCGTAGAAATTTATACGTTACAATATATCGAGATGTAATCAGTATCACATAATATATACATATTACATATTTTACTCGTCGTATTTTTACGTAATATAATTAAGTCTATTTAACTTTCTTAGTAATTACGTATACATATAATTATTATCTATATATTTATTACTTTGATTTATAACATAATGAGTACATAATTGGATTATCAATAAATATTAGTATATTAGTTTGTTTTGTATGAAAATCGAATGTTAACTGTTTTGTCTATAAGCTGATCACTTCCTCTGTGAACGGGAACATTATACAGCATGTGTGTTTTATTTGTAAACATGATAAAGATACTACAGGCTGTTCAAGTTTACTTGAGTTATAGTTTATATGAGAAAAGATTAAATTTTCGAAACTTTGGTTACTAGTTGTTGTTTTGTTAAACCTAACTATATTATTATAAAGTATATTAGATTTGCCTTTTTCTTTGTATTATTACGGTAACATATTAATTTTATATCAACAAATGTGACCTTACTTTAAGTTTACATATTATCATTAAGTTCTATACTCAGTATATTTATTTTCTTATGTCTTAAAATTTCAGTAAATTAATATAAATGTAAAAGAAAAAATATTTTTATTACAAAAATACAAATAAGACTCCATTCCTCTAACGGTAAAAGGTAATTCTTTATCTAAAACTACATAGAGGCTAGGGTTTTGTATATAAAACTATCTAAAGGTGTATTTGCAAAATATTTTAAAATATCACTACCGATTAAATCAAAGGTAAATAAAAAAAGGGGGAAATAAAATTCACACATATAATAAAATAATAAAACATATAATTGCATAAGAATTTAATTATGAAAGTTTAAATTATGGCTATTATAAAGAATTCTGTCATAATTATGAGTATAAGAAAAGAAAAAAAAAATCAGTTATATCTATTTTTAATATAATTCTAGTCGTACTTACCTCATAATGACATAAAAAAACAATTAATTTCAGTTTTGTTTATATATATCGCTTTAGAATTGCTTGTTTAATTGCATAATAAACCATTTAAAAATATTTTTCTTTGTCTATATGTTTATATTTCCATTAAATCCATAAAAAATATTTTTTATATATATATATATTATTGATAAAATATGAAATAAAAATAGAATTTTAACAAGTATAAACACATGATTGTTTTATCTCTAATTTAAAACATTTCTTTAAAGATTTTATCTACATCAAGTTTATGTATCAGAATTATCAATGATTTTATTTATTAAAGTTATACTTTTATTAATTGCTAATATTTTTGGTTTTCTATTGCATGTTGCATTACAGCTGATTACAGAGTAGGGGTAAATGGATGGTGATAGTTTGAATTAGATTATTGTATAGGATATATATTCTCATTAGTTTCTTCAAGTATACCGCGACATTTACATGCTCGTATCTTTCTTCTTCTACCTGGTAATTTCCCAGCTTTAGCCAGGCTCTGCCTTACATGTTGTGAATAGTTTCGGCTAATTGTTTCTTTACGACCGGCCGCCTGCCTGAAATCTGCCCTCTTTGGGAATGCATTAATCAGTGATGTCTAAATACTCTTAGAAAGTACATATGACTCGGAAAAATCACATTGGGTACTTGCCAGGATTGAACCCGCGCCCTCATGCATGAGAGGCGGGCATTTTAATCACTAGGCCACCACTGACTTTGTTAAGTTCGTATCTTTATTTAATTAAATATTTTTAAGTGTTTAATACACATTTACATCTGAGTTATTGTATTACTTACCTATTCCGATATTTAATTCGTAGATTTAAATATATAATTGACTTTTCTTTCTGCTATTGTTTTTTAATTATCATCGTCATTTTATCATTATTACGTATGTATAAATTTTAATTTTTAAGTAATTTTGAGAATCAAAATCCTTAATATTACGCCATAACCTTTTATTACCATTTCTTATAGATTATCAGTATAATATTTAAATGTTCTTATTTTATTTATAAAACTGTACAGTATTTATCAATTGCTATCTGTTTAAGATAGATTGAATGTTGAAATGTATTACACAAGCCGCAATCTGTAGCTAACGAAACGTGAACATTGTGCTAAGTACGAGTTTTTTCGTTATACTACATACGAAAAATTTCCCCGTTTCCTATTCAATAAACTAAATTATTACTATGTGTGAAGTTTTATGAATGATAAACTGTTAACGCTTCGTATATAGTGTGACGATCAAAATTTTGGTAAACTTACTACGCTTAGCACGAATTTACATACAAATTTAATATTATTTTAAGTTTTTACGTTATAGTGTCGACGTGTCTGTACGTTGCAGTATTGAAAAACTCTAAACTGTATGTATTTATTTTTTGACGAACACATGGTAACGCTTCTATCATGTCGCCATTTAAATATCCAATTTTATTTAAAATGAATAATTCTTCTATCGTTCTGCTACTCTTTTGCTCAATGCTACTGAATTTATTTTCATGAAACATTATAATAATATCGTTTTTTTTTTTATTTTTTCTTTCTTTTAATTATTATCATGCGTCGTTTTCACGAATGAATCTAAAGTAAATAACTAGTTTTCTATACATATAAAAATTCAGCAAGCTCATGATATTGCAACTATGTTCAAATGATAATAATATTTTAAAAATTCATATAAAACTATGAAACTTTTATCTCATCATGAACGCAGCATCAGTAATTCCGTTAAATTTTATTGTTATTTTTTAAAGTTGTCAGTCGAACTCCAAAACTCGTTGCTTTGTTTGACCTTTAAACTTTATAAGATTTTAACAATAGGATAATATATCATTCATAATATACAAGGGATAAAAATATCCTTATTAATATTACAAACTTTTATTTTGTTTTACATTTAATCTGACACTTAACTGATTTTCTGTATACATTTTTTTTTATAAAAAAAGAACATTATATATAGAGTCTATATCTATATATATAAAAGAAAGTCGTGTTAGTGACTTCACTTATAACCCAAGAACGGCTGAACCGATTCAGCTGAAAATTGGCAGGGAGGTAGTTTAGGACCAGGAAATTGCAATAGGATACTTTTTATCCCATTCGACAGCATTCCCGTGGGACTTGACATGAAACGACAGTCACTATAAAACGTGGAATAACACAATTGGCAGCTATGCAATTGACGTATAATGACAGATATGTAATGACGTATGGATGACAATTAGATATTTGTAAGAAATCTACTATATAAAAATAAAAATATTTAGGTAATGTGTTTGTAGTTTGAACTCTTAAAACCATTTAGTATTTGCGGGATAAATTTAGAAAATCAGTGTTTTTCACATGGGCAGTTATATTTTGTGTGTTCACGAGTTTGGAAACCATACGCTTTATTTGTGTTAAAGTTAGACCAAAAAATGTGGTTTACAAAGGAGCATTTCAATGAAACGGATAATTTGCGGACACGTATAACGCTACGATCCGATATCTACTTTGGATTCACTTTCATTTACTTAGAGAAGTTCAACTAAATAACACTTCATTTTTGTAATCGAAATGAATTCATTACTGTTGTGAAATGAAATAAAAATTTTCCTTTTCAAATATAAAACAAAAAATTCTTCATCTTTTAATCACCAAACGAAATGTTATATAAAAGCCTTCTGGTGGCGAAACGGAGTTCGCAAGGTTTACTAGTTATAGATAAAGCCTAATTTCATTACTAGAACACATTTAAATTAAACCCAAAAAATAATTTTATATAAGATTCCCTTTTTATAGCGTTTTCAATGATTACGATTAGCTCATTATCTTAAATATTCAACATAAATCTTAATATAATTTGTTTCAATACAAAAAAATAAGGGTGTATTTTAGTTATACCTTTGCGAATTTAATCTCTGTATAAACCTGTCTTCATGAGGGTGAATCTATGATTTGTCAAACGGTAATGGCTTGGCTTGTTTTGCCAGCAATATCCAGCATCCTAATTTCAATTGAGATGATTCCTCTAAATCACCAACCCGTCTTGAGCAAGCGTGGTGTTTAATGTTCAAACCTTTTCCATGTGAGAAAGAGGCCTTTGCTCAGGAGTGGGCTCTGATAGTCTGATGATGATCCCTCTAACTAAAAGCCTGGGATCCTATCATCTAAAATATAAAACCTTATTACCATACTGCTAGACTTCAAGTTTCAGTTACCATTCTGTGTGCATACAGACAGTACGAAAGAAAATAAAGAAATTGCTAGCGGTAGATGACAAATAATAAGACCAACTGACAGAGATTTTTATCTCGTTTGCCTGTAATTACAGTTGATGCAAAGGCATCGAAACTTTAGAAAAATATAGAAATATTATATAATAAATAACGTAACATGTCCATAGGAGACTTTTATGTATTGTCTTAAATTCTATATATATACATAGATAGTATTTTTCTCTTTATCGTACGTATTTCCATATTTTCCTACATTTATCTCGAATGAGATTTTATCTTTTAAGATTGTCCGTTCTAAGAAACATGGACGTCGGATAAATCAGAGTTTAGACAAAGGGAATCTTTTTTGTACATCACACGGCCTTGTTGGTTACTTTTCTTTTATAACTCGACAGACTAACAGCTCTGCAAGACTTTTTGTAAAGCAACAAGTTTTCGTAATATTACTAATCTTATAATTCGGAATAACAATTCAAAAGTATGCAATAAAACTTTAGACATAACATAGTGACGTCACCAAAGAATGATGACGTCACATTTGTAAGCATTTCTAAAGTCCTACACTGTAAAAGATCATCGTA